TACCAGGAGCTGCAGGGTGGAGGGAATGGGAAATAGCTACTTAATGTTTATGGGATTTCCTTCTGAGTTGATGAACATGTTGTGGAACTAGATGGAGGCATGTGGTTGCACAATATTGTGAATGTATAAATGCTACTAAATTGTTCACTTTAAAATTGTTAATTTTATGTCAATTTCATCTCAATTTTAAAAATGAAAAAAAGTCAACAATGTTGAATAACAAGGATTCTTCTAGAACTTGTGTAATAATCCAGCACATTTAATAAGAGGTCTGTAAGGTGTAGGAAAAAATGTTCTTTTCTTGATACTTATTTGTTTTAAATTGAAAATTGCTTTGTTATTCAAAGGTGAAAAAGCTCCCTGTCTTACCCAATATAAGAATAAATGAGAAAGATTACTAGATAGCCTGTATAACCAAAGTCTCTCTTGTCAATTTGCCTGAAATAGTTTATCTAGGTTTTTTTAAAGCAACACATTAGAAATAAAATAATTTTGACCATCAAAATTATGTCTGCTATCAAATTATGTATTTCACAAAATATACTGAGATTCCTAGGCTTGTGAGGCCTCAAGTATCAAGTAACTTTGAGAATCCCCTTATGAGAATAGTTGTACTTCTGGCAAGTTGATTTCTTTTAAATGCACAGTGACAGAGAGTATGATTTCCTTGATGCTATTGGAGTTGAATTCACTGATAAGTGCTTTGAATCATTTCCATTATTGGACAAATTGACAATGGTATTGTCAATTAGGAAGGGATAATCTAGAATAAGGATCAGTTATAAGGGTGCTGAATCTAGAACAGGGAGTAAGGCAAGGCAAATACAAGCCAATCAAAAGAGCAAGATGATTGGGAAAAGGTCAAAAATAACATAAAAGTATCAGATAAGGAGAATTTGTGTTGTATAAGATTTTATCTTAGAAAATTAGAAATTTCCCAATTAACAATAATAGTGACTTATACCTTATGAGATTTAAGATCATTATAGAAACATACAGAACAATATGGATGAACTTTTTATTTTTATTTTTTAAATTTATTTATTACACTTTAGATGAAGGTCTACAGAGCAAACTAGCTTCTCATTAAACAATTAATACACATATTGTTTTGTGACGTTGGTTGCCAACCCTGCAACATGTCAACCCTCTCCCCTTCTCGACTTTGGGTTCCCTATTACCAGCTTCCCTGTCCCCTCATGCCTTCTCATCCTTGTATCTGGGCTGGTGTGTCCATTTAGTCTCGTTTTATGGTCTGTCTAATCTTTGGCTGAAGGACGAACCTCAGGAGTGACTTCATTACTGAGCTAAAAGGGTGTCTGGGGGCCATACTCTCAGGGTTTCTCCAGTCTCTGTCAGACCAATAAGTCTGATCTTTTTTGTGTGTATGAGTTAGAATTGTGTTCTACATTTTTCTCCTGCTTTGTCCAGGATCATCTATTGTAATTTCTGTCAGAGCAGTCGGTGATGGTAGTTGGGCACCATCTAGTTGTGCTGGACTGTCTGGTGGAGGCTGTGGTAGTTGTGGTCCATTAGTCCTTTGGACTAATCTTTCCCTGTGTCTCTGGTTTTCTTCATTCTCCCTTGCTCCAGACGGGGTGAGACCAGTGGAGTATCTTAGATGGCTGTTCACAAGATTTTAAGATCCCAGACGCTACTCACCAGAGTAGAATGTAGAACATTTTCTTTATAAACTATGTTATGCCAATTGAGCTAGATGTTCCCTGAGACAATGGTCCCCACAGCCCTGAGCCCAGTAATTCGGTCCCTCAGGGAGTTCAAGTGTCTATGGAGCTTCCATGACCTTGCCTTGGACAAGTTGTGCTGGCTTCCCTAGTATTGTGTACTGCATTACCCTTCACCAAAGTTATCACTTATCTATTGTCTATTTAGTGTTTTTCCATCCCCACCCCTCCCCTCCCTCATAACCATCAAAGATTGTTTT